GGGATGGAAGAACTGATTTTTTTCTGGGGGGGGGGGGAGGAAGGCATATGGAACTGGATTGATGAATTTTTGGAAGTGGGAGAAGTGTATTTTACCCAGGAAATGTCACATGATCTCCAACTAAGGCAGAAAGTGTTGACGGTGCTCCTTCTTAAAATGTTGGCGGCACATTACTGACTTCACCACACACCTACAGGATCTACTTGGCAAGGCTCTATAATTATGGTAAGCGAACCCTCATTTTCTCTCTTCCTGAAAACTTCTGAAAATCCATCTTTTTCATGAAGTACTCAAGTTGTAAATGCTACACAACACATTTCTGTATCATATTGTGTCATACTGTATTGTACTGTGCGCATACCATCACCTCAGTAAAGAGGGACCACACAAGGCCCTATGAACCATTGCAGTTGCATTGAAGCTCATAAAATGAGACTTCAGTGGTGCAGAGAGCATTGTATTTCCTCTATAACTGGGGTGACATTCAGCCCTGGGCAGAAGGCAATTAGGAGGCCTATACACCATGTAAACTCCATTTAAGGTCTTAAAATAGGACTTCAGTGGTGGATAATAGGTCTTCTGCTCTGCAAAGAGGACTGGAAGGGGTTAAGGTGGCCAGGTAGGCTTATTAACTCCACAAGCTGAACCTGGAGGAAGAACCAGGGAGCCAGGAGTGCAAGCAGGTTTAGCTGTGCAGGAACAGGTGGGGCCTATAAAGCCAGGACACTGGCAACAAACAAGGGCTGCTGCTGGGAAAGGGTAGTCACTCCCTGGGAAGAGGGAGGAGTGTTTGGAGGCTGCGGAGTCATGTAGGCTGCAGCAGTTGTAGGAAGCAGTCCAGGATAGAAGCAGTGAGGGCTGGGAGAGGAAAGTCCAGAACTGCTGGGTGTAGAGTCCCTGGGCTGGAACCCAGAGTAGTGAACGGGCCCGGGTTCCCCTACCAGCCAATGAGGGTGTAGCATAGACCGGCGGGGCAGTGAATAGGAAGACTGTCTGGGTCTCTGTGAGAGTGATGGAGAATAGAAGGACTGTACCCAGAAAGGGGGGGAACACTGAGTGACCTAGCTGGAGGGCTGAGTCATGAAGAGGATGCTGTGGTTACTGGGATGAGAGAGGAGCTGCAAACCTGAGAGAAAGACAGTGTGATGGCGTGCGACCACGGGAAGGGGTGTCGACCTCAAGAGCTAATCTCAAGAGTGACCAGAAGGAGGCGCCAGACAAGTTGTGAGTCTCCTGTGACATTCACCTTAAGATTGTAAATTAATTATTAAGAGGATTAATAATATCACCAGATCCCCAAGATGAAAATACAGCCTTGTGTGTATCGTTTGAGTTTGTTAATTTGGGTACCAAGCAATTGGGTACCAAGTAAAAAATGGATCAGTAACATGAACTTTAAACATTTTTTCAACAGTTGATACCAGTTACCATCTTTCTAAATCTGTATGTGTACAGTCTAAATTCATTTAGCTATTTCTTTATCCAAAATAGTATATTTATGTAATTTTGCTGCAGCTAGGAAGCTGAAATATTTTTGAAACACTGAGGGCCATGTGACATTGAGTCAGCTTTAGACAGAACATCTTCTCATTTCACCTGACTGAAGATCTGGTGATATGCTTCCACCCTGCAGAATATAAATATGCTTTCAGATTTTATTGTTACTAGTAAGGAAGACAACTTCTTTTCAGGTAAGAAAAGTGTAGGGTACAAGGACACGGTTTTATTTGTTTTGTAATTCAAAATGCCAACAAACACGCTTCAGGGCAAGTTATTGTATGAACATCAACCATGTAAACTGTGAATCTGCAACCTTCTCCAAGAGCCATATCCATGAAGCTAGACCTGCATTTGTAACAAGCATGCTATTGGCCCCAATTTTACCTTAGATCTGCCAATTGTATGTGCTTGTGAATATCTAAGGAACGCAAAACATCTGTGAGCCAGACTCAGCCCTCAGAGATAGACAAAAATGTATTTTTCTTCCAAATGGTAGCATCTGGCTCTTTGGGCTTTTAATATACCTACCAGCTCCTACCACAATGTTATAAATTGTCACAGTTCATTTTCTGTAATAGTTTATATAGTCTGTGGCAACATAATATAAAACACAAGACTATTGAAGCATATGCCTCAGCAGGCTACCTTAGGTATACTTGTATCATATACATATATTTAGGGTTTTGTTTATTTGTTTTACTTGGGCATAGGCTTTCATGGGTAAAAAACCTCACTTCTTCATGCATCTGAAGAAGTGAGGTTTTTTACCCACAAAAGCTTATGCCCAAATAAAGCTGTTAGTCTTTAAGGTGCCACCAGACTCCTTGTTGTTTTTGTGGATACAGACTAACACGGCTACCCCTCTGATACTTGTTTTGTTTCTTTGTTTTTGTTTTCTTTAAGTAAACCTTATTGCCTAAAATCTCAACAGATAATTTCCCCACAGTTGTTAGTGCCTTCTGTTTAAAAAAAAAAAACAAAAAAAACACCACCACAACAGAAACATAAAGTCACCCATGTAATGCACCTTGTGCAATGGAATGCATTTCATAGCATTAATGCACTTAACCTGTTGTGATTGTGATGTGTGAAAAATCTTTTACCCTTATATTTGGGAATCACTGTCACTCTATTTTGTAAACATTAAGTAAAATACCTTTTAAATGCACCTTCTCAGCTTACGGGCCAAATTCTTGCTGGTAATACACATGTAGTATGCATACCAGAAAACCTGTATGTAGCAGTGGGAGAGAATGTTGGAGGTTGCCTGCCTCTGTGCAGGGTCCTCCCCAAAATTATAGAGACCTCTCAGCATGTCTGTAACTGAAACAGTGTATATGTGGGCATGAGTATAACAGGGCTTGGCTATGGGGAAGCTAGCATCAACCATATGTATTTGTGTGCCCATATGTATCAACACAGACCAGTGCAACCATGCCATGAAAAACTCTACTCTCAGCAGGAAAGAACTGTAGTCACAACTGGTAGAATATGGTTCATATTAGTGACACTTTTGCAGCATATTTGTGTCCATTAAGACTGTCTATTTTAGGAAAATTGCTATCAATTGTTCTGTACAGTTGTTTTTTCCATGGAGTCTTCTGGGTTTACATGACATGGCTGTCAAAATGCCTGTGCCCAGTCTACAACACAATTTACATGGCTAGAAGCACCAGGGAAACTATACAGATGCAGGAAAATGGCTCAGAAATGTTAGTGTATATGCACTGTTAGAGGTCAGTTTCATCACATTAGCCTGAATTTGGCATGCTCAATGTGTTTATTTGGACGTTTATTCATGTTAGAAACACATGGCTATATGAAATAGTTATAACAAGACAGGCAATATGGTCCATAATGAATAAGCAGGAGACATGGAATTTATTCTTGGTTTTGTCACTGATCTGCTCTGTAACCTTGGGCAAGTCACTTCACTTCCCTGTGCCTCTGTTTTCTCTCCCACCCTTCCTCTGTCTTGCTTACTTGGACTGTAAACTCACCTGGGCAAAGACTGTCTCTATGTTTATTCAGTGCCTAGCATAATGGAATCCTGATCTTGGTTGGGGCCTCTAGGCCCTACTCTAATACCAATAAATTATTATTACTATTATTATTTATAACACCTGAAATACTTGTTTCTTATAGTAACTCCAGAGTGCTGTAAAAATAAAAACATACATTTTGGGAACACAGGAGTTGCGGCACTTCATGGTCCATTCAGCTGAGATTCCTGTGTTTGACAGTAGCCAGTGCCAACTGTTTCAGATGAAAATGCATTAAACCCTGAATGAAGTAGTAATGGGATAACCTCTACCCGGTTGAGAAGAAGCTTAGCCTGTGGGCAGGTTATCTTTATACATTGGAGCATAAGAATTTACATCCCTTCCAAATTTATTGTAATTCTAGGTGTGTTCTTTCACAAGTCACTGGTGGAGCTCTGGCTCAAATTGTTTATCCAGGGACTGAGTTTTTTGTAGTTTATCCAAGGCATCATGGAAGGACCACTTCTCAGGAGTGAATCCTATATCTACAGAGCACTGACTGTGTTAACAAAGGCCTTAGTTTCAGAGTGTTTGATTATGGTAATTGGTTTTAAAATAAAAAGACTAAAGGGAACATCTGAATTCTCCCTTGTAAAAACCCACTACAGTATTCTACAGTAACTTCCCCAAGTTCTGCAGCAGTATTATGGTGCAATGCAGGAGTCTGGACAATTACTACTGTAGATTATGGCAGTACAGTATTTTTTATTATATGGGATATTATCTTTGTGAATGGAGATGAGACCTCAACCAAAATCCTCAGGGCAAGCATCCTCGTTCCAGAAGGTGACCTGTGGCTCTGCACTTCATGACTGGCTCTATTTAAAACAGGCGAAACTGAAAGTTCATGCATGGAGGGGGGTGCATATTTTGTGGCTAGGGTCCCTATGGAGTGGTGACTGGTAGGGTGCCCCGTGAAGGTATTGTTCCCATGCAGTTTTGGAGAGGAAAAGCCCTGTACTACATGTCAGCTGAGGATGGGGGGGAGAAGGGTCAGGTTTGGCCTGAACTTTGCTCCTCCGCTGGCCTCTCTGTGGGGGCCTGTGTGCTGAGGCCGGGGGTGGGGGTTGCACACCAAAGGCAGGGCGGTTTGCTGGGCCCCAGGCCCCCCACACCTTGCTCAGCCTTGGGCATTGTTTGCACACCTCGTCCCTTCTGCTTCCGGAGGCAGCGCCGGGGATGATTTGCTGCAGATGACATCAGCTGTGGATGCTGGAACAGCGGCAGCAGCAACGCGCCGGGATGTGCCGGGTCCCCCCCTCCTCCCCGGGTCCCAGCCCTGCACCGTCTCGGTATAAAAGCGCCGCCGCCTCCCCGCCCGCCCTCACTCGCCTGCTGCCCGCAGCCCGGCACCACTCGGCAGCTCCGCGCCGAGGAGGGAGGCACCGCTGGAGATAATCCTTTCCCTCCCTCCCCCCCACCCCGAGCAGCAGCAAGCGGAGGAGAGGGGCTGGCAGGATGGCGACCGTGGTGGTGGAAGCGGAGCCGGACCCGTCTTGTAGCATCCCCAACCCCGCGTCCCCCTCGCCCAGCCTCTCGCACCGCTTCCTCGACAGCAAATTCTACCTGCTGGTGGTCATCGGCGAGCTCGTGACCGAGGAGCACCTGAGGCGAGCCATCGGCAACATCGAGCGAGGTAAGCTGCCCGGCCCGCCCCCGAGAACAGCCCTGCTGCTGCGGGTGGGGGTGGGAGGCACGGGGACAACCACAGGTTGCACAGAAGTCCTTGCTGTTGTCTCCTCTCCCCCTTTTATCGGCCATAAATGCCCCCGGCTCGGCACCCGCCCTTGGCTCCTCACCGCCTGCCACGAGCGGGGCTGCAGCTCGCAGCGTCCGGCGCCAGGAGTCAAGATGTTGCCTTCACTAACCCACAAGGAAAAAAGAATCTGATGCAACCACTCCCTTTGCTCGGAGGGGGAAAAGCCTCTGCTCCGAGCTGCAGCGCAGCGCCAACAGTTGGCAACGGGGCTAGCCCAGCCCAACCCAACCCAGACAGGCTTCAGCCTCCTCGGCTGGCTGACACGCGCCTTGCAGGGGTCGGGAGGGTAGCCTGGGTTGGAACCGGCGGAGGGATGCAGCTGTGGTTCCTGAAGCGGTTTTGGTGGTTCAGTTTGGCGCATGGGAGGGAGAATTTTCCTCTTAGCTCAAGGAGCGCCCCACCTTGCGTGTCATCATTGCCCTTTTTACCATTTCAGAAGGAAAACCAAACAGAAATCTCTGCCTGCTGGAGAGGGGGCTTCTTATTTTCTGCCCTTTTCCTTTACCCCCCTCGGACCTACAGCCTCCTAGGTGTCACTGCTCTATCGAGAATGTCCAGACATAAAGGACGGGGGACAAAGACTGCAGGAATCTGATCTTTGTGTTCAAGCCAATGTTAATCTAGTAGTTTAGGTGCAGTATCATGAGACATACATGGCTATTAAATCCATAAAGCAGCAACAGCAGCAGCGATGAAGGAGGAGACTCCTTCTATATCGCATTGGCTTCCCTCACACAAAGATCTGCAGTTGGCTTTTGCTGCACCCATGTAGCCTGAGACACAAGGAAGGAGAAGGTGAACGGGTGAGACAACAGACCTCTCCCTCCACTGCAACTGATCTGGGCCCCCCCATCCCAACTATTTTTGCTTCTCTGTGTCCCCCCCGCCATTGTTACTGCGCTGTGCTAGTGGTTTTTTCTGCAGAGGTCGTTCCGGTCTTCTGCAGCAGCAGCAATGCCTCCCTCGCTTTCTCTATTCCCCTCTTGGTGCTGCTGGAGTCTGTCTGCCCAGAGATACCGGCTCGTGGGCGTGGTGCAGTCCGCACTGCGGTCCCTATGGCAGCCCATAGCGGACAAAGGGCGTTCACATAGCCAAGAAAAAATACATTTTAAACAGTTATTTTTAAAAAAACAAACAGCATTTCCTCACTGCAAAATAAAATCCAAGGGATTTGGGGAGTCGTAGTTCTGAATAGCAAGGAACCCCTGAGCAGGATCTCAGCTGCTTCTATTGTTTCTAACTTTCAGCAATAAGAATTTTTTTTGCTTTAGAGAATTTTACAGAAATAGATTTTATAGAAGAAAAACAACAAAGATTTAAGTGATTAAAATTTAAATATCTGAACATTCATTCTCATAATCCTTACATTATCCAGCTACAGGCTGCTGCTATGACTCAGAGTATTTTTGCTATATTTTTTTAAAAAGTCACAGCTCCATCAAAATATAAGTGAAAATCACGATTTTATTAATCAATCCTTGATATGGTTTCTAAATAATAGATTTCAGTGAATTGGAAAATGCTATGATTGCACAATATTGATATGCAGTACAAATAAAATCATTACTAGATGCCATAGTTTATTAAGCTACATTACCAATGTTTTTGTAACAAATGTGTTTTGTTTTTTTGGGCTGATGAGGGTAGAGATTTCAGAAAATGTCCATTGTCAGAGAGAGATCTTTAAACAGTGAATTGGTTACCGTTCCTGGTTTATAGGTGTGGTTCAGCAGTCCCAATAGGACTTCAATTGTCTCTTCCTATTGTTGCTTCAAAACCCACCATCTGTTTTACTTCATTATTTTTTTCCAGATTTATTTTTTACTCCTTTCTGATTAAGGATTAGCTAATCACAGCTAACCACCTTTTAAAATTACCTTTTTTATAGTTATAGCTGCCATTGTCTTCTAGTGAAAACTGCTGATGCTGTTGCTCTGCTCTGTAATTTAGAGTGACTTGGTCATTGTATTTTCCTAATTTTACCCAAGTATTGATTGAGTTAAAGATGAGTTGGCTGCATTTTTAAATAAAATTATGAATAATTAATAGAGCAAACGGATGTGTCTTCTGCCCTCAAGACGTCTGATGTCATCTTTCCTCAAGAAATCCTCTTCAGGCTCTTGAAGCTTCTGCTGTGTAATTCCTGCTGTACAGTTTCCATTGCTGCCACCTAAACTCACAAAGCATAGCATCTTTTAAAATTTTAGATATTTATAAGCAACCCTGTGGGCTGTCTACTCAAAATGTTGGATTAGAAGTCACCTCTCTCCTGCAGGTGGCAGATGATCTGATTAGGAATTCAACTACTGGAGATATCACTGATCTGATATTCAGCTGCTTTGTTCTGGATTAACACACTGGGGGAGTCTGTAGCTATATATTTATGGAGTAAATATGGGCTTGATGAACCTCTTCTTTTCTGAGGAAAGCTCACTACTATCTGGAAAAAATAGTCCATTCCAAAACCATCCATTCTCAACAAGGCCTTCAAGAGTTCAGCGTCCCTGTTAACTTTTCTTCTTTGCTGTCTTTTCTGGTATGTCTTTTGAGCATCATCATTGAAGATTGTGGATTCCTGTACAGTACTGAAGAGAAACAGAATCAGAGAAGATATTATCTGATAATTTACATCAGTGGTTTGGTCTTATGCAGCCTGGATGATTGCAGATTTAGTTGCTTTAAATTTTATGAAGAGAGGGTTTCTTGTTTTGAGTTTGCCAACTGTATTTTTAAATTCTGAAATATCTTTCTGTATAACTGCTTGTTTTGAAATGGCAGTCTTCTAGTGGCCTAGGGTTGCCTTCTGATGTGTCAAAAAATGGCTTCAAGATCTATCCACAGACTAAGGCTTGTGGGTGTGCCCATTCTGCTGTATAATTAGTCCAGGGGCTAGCGGCACCTGTATTCCTAATATCCCGGAAAGAAGTAATGATCCTAGTTCCATTGTACTTCCACTGACTGCATGCATAACAATACATATATTTATCTTTAAATTGTCCATGGTTTATAGTTCGAGATTTATCTCCATCTCACTTAAACCTGATGTTATCACTTTTACTATTTTGAAATATGGTGTTTATATCAGAAATGCTGAATCATGGACCTTCAAGTACAGAAAATGCTCTTTAAGATAAAGAAAATAATTACATATCATTTTAAGCTTATTTTCTTGAATCTTCTGTTTTGCACATTGACAGGCTGAGCGATCTGGCTCTGTTCCAGTATTGTATTGTAGAATCTCAATCTAGGCATAAATCTGCACTCTATACATTTGCATCAAAAGGATGTCCATGTACCGAATGATGGCAGGACAGACACTATGTACCTACAACATCACTGAATCAACGTCTGTGTTGCTTAATAGGTCTACCAAATGCCTGTAGTCTATCCCTAAACAACACCATTGCTCATCATTCAGGGTTTGCTATTATAGGTCAATGAGCTGTTGTCTGGAGCTTGCCTGAGTTTAGAACTTGTTTAATCACCATTGTTTAGCTTCATGATCTATGGTCAGTGTACATTTACAAAAAGCATTTCTCTGATGTGCTACTTATCTGGATGATGTTTGATGCTGGGTATAATATCTTTAAGATTATTCTTGATTTGAAGTATTTGACACATGGAAATAATTAAATATGAACACTGTTACTGTGGTGTATTTAATTCCCAAATTCACTCACCAAAAAATGCATTGCATGACCAAGAAGTTTCTAGCAAATGAAGATAGGAAGACTCCTAGAAGAGGGTGACCTCTGGTGCCTACATACAAAGATGTTACAATTCAAGTAGCGAGAGAGTCCCTCTATAGTTCAACTAAGTAATTTAGTTAGGGAATTATTTTAATAAACTATTATGAAATGTATGGAAAATTGTATATTTCTAAAACGTATCTTTTAAAAATTGTTTAAAAATTGCAGTTAATTAATAAAGTGACATACCCCAATATCAGGCACATTGATAGTCTGGCTGAAAAGTTATCATAAAGACACTTATGAAAAATCATCAAAAGTAGCTACTCTCTATGTGCCTTGTGGACCTAATGCAGAATGAGCATTCCTATTATGTCACTGGTGGCACAAAGTAGCTATTGGATCAAAATAGCAAGCTAAGAGTTAAATCATCTCCTCTCCTGCAAAATCACATGGAAATGGGAGAAATAAACCTGTATTTCAACAGATTTGAAGCTGCCAAAAGCATTAGATGGATTTTCTCTCTATAGAAAAGGCCTCTGGAGTGGGCAGGGGGCAAGGCCCTTGAAATGCAGATCATCAAACTTGTATGGGGAATCCAGTCATCAAACCTATTGATCTCAGGCCAACCATGCAGAGTGCTGAACTGTCGCTGTGACTTCTCTTTCTTTTCATCCCTACCATCCAGTGTGCCTCCCCAAGGAGTCAAGCTAGGACTAGTTTCCCCCCCACAGCACCCTTGAGGGAGAAGAAAGTGGGAAATAGTGCTGCTAGTTTGAGCATTAACTCCTAAGTCATGTTGGAATTTCCAGAGGAAATGCCAGGGGATGGTACCATATTGAGTGGCTGCCCTCACCCTTACTCTAGCTCCTCCAACTGGGTCCTCCCTCCCCAAATACTGCAGAGCCCCAACTCCACCGTTGCATGACAGGACATGTACAGAAAAGAAAGAAAAGCCAGAGAGACAAGTCAGCTTATGGGAATGGGAAGAGGCAGATACCATTATAGGCTCTGCTGCTTTCCCTCTGCCCATCCACTTGCCATCCAGCTTGGCTAGTTTGTGCTTGTCTAATCACCACACCCCAGCAGAAGAGGATGAACTTTAAATTTATTTTCAGAGTGGTGCGAGTGCCTGTACCTTATTGGAGAACAACTGCCTGCACACTTTTTCACTTTTTAAAAAATAAAGAATTTTTGAGTTGTAGAAAAATACAAAACATTCCAGACCATTTCATTCATTTCATATTTGGGTTTCTCATTCCTGTGATATTTAAACTGGTAACTTTATTCCCCCCTCCCAACTATAATCTTTTAAAAATATTTATTATGGAAACATAAGTTTCAGTGCCTTACATGTGTCAAGAATCTCCCTCTTTAAATAACTGAGAAAAGAAACTGGACAACAAAGTAGTAGTACTATTTCCAAGTTAAATTAAATTTAAGAGAGGAGATCAAGTAGTATATTTTATGTTTCAGAGAGACAGAATTTTGACACTTCTTGAACAAAGGGAATAAAGTAAGAATTTATATTTTCACTTTAAATGAGATGGCTCATTGCTAGCATAACAGCTCTTCATTAAGAGATCTGCCAATTTAATACTTAAAGTATTGGGACTATAATAAATGTAAGCTGATGTCATTTTTTCTCTCATGGGAGCAAACACAATGATCTTGTAATGTGACTAAAATATTCCCCTGAATAATTTAGTTTTATGCAATTCAGTAGCTAATGATCAGTAAAAACAATGTATTATTATGTTGCAAGTCAGTTTGGGGGCATATAATATCAATAAATATGTCATAATGCTGCAGAATCAACAAGCAATTCTCAGATTGCAGGAGCCACCACTTTTTAGCACCAATGAACTGACTTTCCCTCATTTCTCACTGACCACTGTCTTCAGTGGTGTCGGAATGTTCAGTATCATACAAGATTGGGCTATACAGTGAGTGCAAATGAACAAAATAGCTGTCAAATGTGTGGATATGAGAGAGAGAAAGGATGGGACACAGGCAAGCTTTGGAATGGAGAAATATTTAACTCTGATGAACGAGAATCCAAAATATTCAGTTGAAAACTTTCAAACTACACATGTTAAATATGAATATATATTGTGTTTTGACTTGTAGGAATCCGATCATGGGACACAAATCTGATTGAATGCAACTTAGACCAAGAACTGAAACTTTTTGTGTCTCGCCATTCAGCTCGGTTTTCTCCTGAAGTTCGAGGTAAGAGTTCTTTTTAGTTTTGACCAGTGTTTGGCATAGCTTTAAAAAAAAAAAGTAACCAAAAAAACCCCCAAACCTCCAAAACAAAAAAACTACTGCATAACTCAGCTTAGTTTTTAGTCTCTGACTTTTCTCTATTTAAAAAAAAAAGCTTCAGACATTATATTATTTTGTCAAAATATTCAAATATCTGATGCAATATATTTGATAGTACTTTGTAAGGTAAGCCAACTAAAACCTATGCTTTAGTTATGTTGCATGTTCAACGCTATGTTCAACTTCATTCCATATTGATATTTGGGTGCTACTGAGGTTTAGGCAATACTCATTATTTGAATGAGTGGTTGTTTTCCTTAAGGTAAAGTGACAGATTAACAGCCCTTGAGACTGGAGGTCTTTTATCAGAATAGGCACAGCTCAATCCCAACAATGTGCCTTGATCCTGAATTGGATGGACTACTTCTAGAGAGGGAGGGGAGGGGTGGTTCATTCTCTAAAATCGTTCATTCATGGTTCTCTCTGAGAGTAAGTCTGTAACAAAAGGTGGAGGTTTTGTGTCATGGAAATGTGTTCACAAGGAACTGGATTTAGCCTATCAACTCCTGCTGAACAGGTCACCAAAGAGGTATCAAAAGGTAGTAACTTTTGGTCACTACTTACTTGGGCTGGAATTGAACTGATAACTGAAAGATGAAAAACTCTGTAGCCCTGTAACAGTTCTCTGCCCCATCCATTTCCTTACTTATGGTACATTTTGGGAAAGAAAGAGTAAGAAGTTTTTGCTTTCTCATGAAGTTCAGGTATTTCTTGCATCAGAGCAGGCTCTGTTCAGCAAATTACTATCTTGGGGCACTTACTTTAAACAAGGTTACACCCCATCCCTCAGTGAATGGAAAGGGTTTTCAGCTGCCAGAAACCACAGATCCCCTGAGATCTACATAAAACTCAGGGGAATCCAGTAGAAGACATGTGCCTCAGCACCAGTTCCACAGAATGGAATATTGTAATTTAAAGATTAATACAATTTTCAGCTGATTCCCCATAGTTGGTTGGGGAGGGGGAGAGGGCCCTGCTCCCCTTTAATCTCAAGTCCACCCCTTCTTCACACAGCACCTCAAACTGTTTTGGAGGGCCTTCTGTGGCATTTGGGCATGATGGAGGGGCACTGCTACAGAAATGATCCCTGGCCATCCCTTTGTTATACAGAAAGGGAGGACTACATATGGACGTGCAGGGGAATGCATGTGATCAGGGCCGGCTCTGGCTTTTTTGCCGCCCTAGGCAAAAAAGCCTCCGGCCGGAGCCGGGGGGTGGGGGGCAGCCGGAGCCCCAGCGGGGGCTCCGCTCTCGCGCCGGGGGGGGGGGGGGGGGGGGGGGGGGGGGGCGGCGAGCCCCGGCGGGGGCTCGGCTCTCCCCCCGACCCCGGCGGCCAGAGCGCCGGTGGCAGGGCCGCGAGCCCCAGCTGGGGCTCGGCTCTCCCCCTGACCCCGGCGGCCAGAGCGGCCGGCGGCCGGGGCGAGGGCGGGGGGGGCGGCCAGAGCGCCGGAGGGAGGGCGGCGAGCCCGGCTGTGGCCCCACGCTCCCCGGCGGCCGGAGCGCCGCGCCGCCCCCCTCCAGGTGCCGCCCCAAGCACCAGCTTGGGTGCCTGGTGCCTGGAGCCGGCCCTGCATGTGATCTGGCTTACTCTGGGATTCATTGTTCAGTCAAGTCAATTTCTTTTCCCCTTACAAGTCAGCTTTTTCTTTTCCCCTATTTTGACTACACTATGACTACACCTGAACTGCTAATTTTGCAGTATGATAAAGCCCTTCAGAATTGGTATAATTCCTGTTCTGTGAACATGGCTTGTATAGTGTTGTGTCTGAGTGGCTCAGATAGAATTTTCCACTACCCTGCTTTGAATGGTTGAGGGAACACTTTTCTTTCACTTTCATGGGAACTGTGGACTTTTATGGGAGGCATGAAACCTAAATCTTCTCTTCTGACTTCTCTGAAAGCCTGCTTTTCATATGAGGATTTGTTCCAATAAAAATTAATTTTATAGTTTGCTGTGAATCATACAGAATTAACTTCTGTCATTTCATGGGAATCTGATGATTGGTAAGTTTTCTAACTTTTTTTTTTTTTTAAACAAATCTTGAGTTTAGGCATGTGCGCAATCAACCTTAGATGTTAATTAATACTATACAGTCTTCTCAAAGGAATGTAGGTTGTTTTCACTGGTGAAATATTTGGGATATAAGTGTAACAACTAATGCAGCATAATATTGACTAAATAACATTAAAATTACTGGTCATGAGCATGGTAGGGATGGTTATGAAATGCTGCTACAGCAGATTCCTAGAATCTGTATCACAAATTGTAACAAAGAGATTCTGATTATTCTTGTCTTGCAGTATTCACTCTGTCATCTTGGATAACACACTGGAGCTTTTTCTGTAACTTTGTGCAGTATTAGTTACAACAGCATTTGTCTCTAATAAACAGACTGGTGACCAAATGTGCATAGACTTTTGGGTTTTCTAAATCTGGCAATTTTTTGGACTTTTCCCCTTGGCCTGTGAAACAGCAGAACAAATTCAAAAAAATATGAACATCTAGGTCCTGGTCTTGCCATCGTTGACTTTCATGGAAGCGGGATCAAATCCAAAGTACATATCTTGCAATTTGGTTTAAATTAATTGATCATGAACCAAATTCAGCTGCTTAGTCACACAAGTTTCCCTTTTGTTGCTTTGAGAGTACTTAGATGAGTAAGACTAGCAGGATTTGACCCTGAGGGTGGAACTATACATTACACCTAAATTTAATTTGTAAATGTCTAATTTAAGATTTCAGCTAAAAAATTCTGTGCCTTTATTTTAGCAGAAACATGACCGTGCATTTCTGATTTTCAGCAAGTGCAGTTAAATGGCTTAACTTGGGACATTATTTTTTGATAGGTTTACATGAATTAAAACCAAGCAAATCCTCTGATATAATTTAAATAAAAGAAGTAAGATTATACACTCTATTTTTCAATGGAAAGATTATAAAATCATCTAGGAAATATTCTCTAGGAATTGTATTTTTAGCTACCTTTTTTGTCTAGACAGCCTGTTTAGTCTGTCATTGTGTAGAATTACAGCTTAATTGTATGTGACTTGAATTCATCACCATCTCTATGACAAACAGTATAAATGTGTATTCTAGCACTGCTCAGTCTTTAAACAATCAGACACAAAAATCTATGTTCAAAGGCATTAAAGAATCTGTCTTAAACCTGAAAAAGTGAGGAAATTCAGAAGTGAAGCTGGCACTCTAGGTCAAATTCTACCCTCAGATGCTTGTATAAGACTCCCATTGACCTCAGTGAGATCCCTCTTCACAGAACTGAGGGCAAAATATTGGTCTCTATCCTCAGTGCCTTGGTACTGAACCCATGTGAGACTCCATTGTGCTTTCCATTTTGTGCCATGAAAAGGAGGCCTTTTTTGGAGCCCTTTTTGCATAAAATGTCAAAGTAACTGATTTCTGTTGACATTTCTGAGCCTGGATTGAAATTAAATTAACATTGATTTCACAACAGAGTTAACATTTTGTGTTAAGTGCAAAACCGACTAAATCTCTCCTCATCTTGAAAAATCCAAGTAGCTAAGACCCATGTTCAGTAAAACAAATATACAATAGTCATCATGGAAAAAAAAATTAACCTGATGAGATTCCAGTAGGGCCCATCATATGTAAGATGGGGGTATAGTTAAATAACAAATGTCACCCTTAATTTTGAAACTCCCTGGTTTTGCCTGTTTAAAACCAAGCCCTTAATGTGATCCAAACATAAAACCAGATAAACTTTTTGGGGTAGGCACTGTCTTTACTAATGTTTGCGTAAAGCTTAGCACAATAGAGTCTAAGTGCTACCACAATATAAATGTGTAACAATAATTTTGTGCAGTCCCTGCATGGCTGCACAGTGACAGAGGCAAGAGAAATAAGTTTCCCCACATCTTTCACAGCAATTCAAGGGCTACGCAAAGCAACAATGCAAACAGAGTATGTTACTCCAAAAGAGGGTATGACAGAGGTGGGGTCACACTCATAAGGTGCAAGGAGAGGCACTGAAGAGAATATGCCTCTCCTGAGCATCCTTACTTTTTACATTTGTATATCTGAGGAATGAGTTAATTTGAGGCCTAATTTTGCTCCCACTGCAGTGCATAACAAAACTCCCATTGATATCAATGGGAGTAGAATTAAGTCTCAACATAGTTTTTTAAATGTTATAAAAGAATAAATTCACTTGCTGGTGTTCTGTATGCTCAGGTACAGCCAGTATAGTACTTATAAAGACAGTATATCATGCCCTCAAAATTGGGCTTTAGAATGGAAATGCTAACAGGCCCTTTCCTATGGCTTATACAGTAGCTGAGTTAGCAGGCTCCTTAATAAAAAAATCTTGCACTGATGTCAGGTCGTGATGAAAAATAAATAGCAAAGCTAATAAAATGGTTGCCAAGACAACAAGGAACACTATTTAAAATGAATACTCCAGTGCTTACTTCTTTGTTTTCTCCATCATGAACTGATGATAATTTCCATCATATTTTGAAGTAAACTTCACAAGAAGAAAAAAATCTCTCACCCCCACATCCACACACACATATGCAACAATTTGTGTCATGCTGAGATGAGGGTGGAAAAGTACTGACTGGTGTTTTATTTTAAAATGGCGCTACTTTTAAACAATTTGTTAGTTCTTTTTAAATTAAAATTTATTTTGCAAGTGCATAATAGGTGAAATTCTTCTTACACAAAGCCAGAGTAAATAGGCTTTGTGTAGGGAATCAGTGTGGGATGAGTGTGATGAAATATATTCTCCTACATTCAGTCAGGCCCTCCACAGATGTTCTTCTGCCCCTCTCTGCCTCCTACACAGAGGCTTCCAGCCACTGGATCAGTGTGGATTCTAGGCCTTGTCAAAATAAAATCCATTTTAGCTAAACCAGCAAGGTTTGTG